GCATGGAAGTACAAGAAACACTAAACTGGGAGGAGGGAAGGGCAGAGAGTGGGGAAAGAAGTTTATTGTTCCTCTCTAGGAAACCTATGCATCAAGATTTTTTTGGCCCTGGTGGCTGGATTACAGAACAAAATGAAACAAATGTCATATTAAAAAGAGTGTATCAATTTCATTAATACTGGACATAGCCTCCTTGCCAAGATGAGAAATACCAGGAAGTTTCCAGCATATTAACTACAAGGGGAAGTTGGTTGCTTCTGTTATGTGAGAGTCCAAATGAAGTGTTATAAGTCTCCTCCATTTCTTAAAACTGGGACATGGGATGGAGATACATGGTTCTCAGAACTGAGTTTTAGGAGCAAAATATCACATTGGAGACTACTCTGTGCCATGTCCTCCACTTCCACAAGCTTCCTAAATTTTATAATTGCTGAAGGATTTAAGTTACAGCCCAGGCACTTCAGGGTCTTAGAGACTGAAAATTGAATGCTGAATTTTCCCAAAATACTTTTCTTGTATTGATGTGGATGGTGCAGAGATGCAGTAGAGCTTTCGTTTATCTTGCTTCAAAGGCAAACAGCAGCAACTGAAGCAGCAAATGGCCTTTGAGAGGCAGGTGAATTTATGAGGTTTGCTGACCATCTTTTCATCTTTGCTATGAGAAATAAAAGACGAATTACTTCAATAGCAGTCAGATGGCCAAAAGAGGATAAGAGAGACTGAATGCATGGCAATACCTGAAATTATATATAAAAAATTATCTCATATTTGCTTGGCAATAGCACAAATTTTGCTGACATGATTTCTCTTTCTCTCTTACCCTCAGAATGAAAACAGGATAGAAAACAAAGTACTGAAGCTGTGAGGCAATGACTAGTTGATATTTGCTCCACTATAAACACGGCTCTAGAGGATTTCATTTTTCTAGAGAAAGGTGTGAAAGCATTTTCATGCTACATTTCAAACTCAGCTCCATTTCACCAGCCTTCTGCACCAATTCTCAGATCAATGTCATAAATTTTCACTTCAAAATAGCAGCCTGTTTTTCCACTGTGGTCCTTAACTCATCCAGTTTTTCTTACCTCATGCCAGTTACTGTGGTAAACAGAGCAAAATACTTGTGTAACTTCAAGCCCATGAATAAATGCACAAAGGTCAGACCTTGGTACTGTTCCTTCATTGTTACACTATGCTGTAGTTTTTCATATCTTCAAATTCATTCTATTACGAAGAAAAAGCAAGCAAAAAGGATGATAAGGGTTTTTTTTTAATGTTGGATATACTAGAAACTACATTTTGAAATCTTTCTTTTCTCCAGGGTGCAGAGTTCAGAGCCAGCCTTGAAACTCAAGCCTCTCTTGGGATTGTATACAACTAACTGTTTAATAAAATAAGGGCAAATATAGAATCTTTCAACATCTGACTTTTGTCCTGTTCACCTGCACGTTTTCTTGCTACTGTTAGGAAAAAAAAAAAAAAGAAAACCCTAACCACCATTTGTCATCTGTGTTTAATGCTCTTAAAAAGCAGACTCTTCATTTTCCTCCATTTCAAGTCTTCCCTGCCCCAACATTACTCTTTGGCCTATTCTGTAAGAGATAGAGCAGTCATATTATGTCCTGATTTCCCTTCAAATGAGACTAATAGTTTCACAGAATGGTCTGACCATTTGCTCCAAGTTCTCGCATACTATATCAAAATTCACCACTGAACAGAGTTAAATATAATAAATGTGAATAGAATAATCAGGAAGGGTGTAAATAATGCCAAAATGCTCATGGAGGATGCTTTCAATTGAGGACTGTTGCAGGAATTTTGACAGTTGCACACAAAGTGAATTAACATAAGCATTATGTTACTTAGATTGTAATACTATTAACATTTTAATGTAATCAGTGCAGTGATGAAGTGTTGAGTCATTGCTCTAGGAAAATGACCAAGGAGTCTGGAAAAGGCTAACAAATACTGTAGTCAGTGATGATTCCCTGCCTTTACTATTATATTAGGAACTAATGAGACCTGTCTCCAATGTTAGAATAATAGACAAAAAGATACACTGCACCTTCAAGGCCTTGTTTGCACTGAAGCGTTCCTCAGATCAATTCTACTTTACCAGACTTAGCACAATTTGGAGCAGTAAAACATACCAGCAATCAGCAAGTTGTTGTCCGAGGCCCTCCCTGGTAAATGGAACAGAAAAGGCCAGTGCTTCATTCAGCACTGCTGTTCCACACCACATCAGAAAGAGAGGTACATACTTTACTGCTACTGCGAGAGAGAGGAGAATTCTGGGGAAAAAAAAAAAAAGAAAAAGAAAACAAAACCACAGTTTATGGCTGCTAATTAAGTTCAGTCTCCCTGTGAAACCTACTTCTGGGGTGAGGTAATTCAGAGGATCCTCATCTGCACAAAAGAATTTCCTCCTAACTTCTTCCTGTTTTTCCCTGTTTCTTTGGGTCTGAATGACTAAGCTTTTCTACAGTCTCTTCTCAAGAAAACCTTTTTTTCTTCCATCCAAGGAACAGCTGGAATAACTAGCCCTTTGTATTTTAAGTTATTCATTAAAGTTAAATGGCTTTATCTTCAAGCTTGTCCTAGGGTAACTATTATAAGGTTAACCTTTCTATAGCAGTGAATCCAGATAAGTTTCTCAATTTTCTCTGAACCTGGCGAGACACAAATATGTATGACTGTGCCCTTGCTATGGTTCATAGTTGTTGCCTCAATACCTATTTTGATTTCCCAAAGCAGCACTGAACATCAAGGAGAAAAAGGTCATAAACCATGAAAGGCAGTTTCAGAAGGACAGAGAGAACCTCATAATTTGTTTCTTTTTTCTTGGTAAGACAGATAGTAATTCTCAATAGTGTCCAGATACAACTGGATTATTGTACTTCATATAGGGGTAACAAAAACTACCAAACCCTCACAAACCAAAACCCCAAATAGTCAGCTCCCTACAGAGTCTTGCTTAGCAGAGTCTTCACCCCAGCTTCACCCCATATCCCTACAGATCATCATCCCCAAATCTCTCACAAATCAGGGTGCTCCTTGGAAACCCCACCTAGAAAGCAGATTCTTTTCTGGTTTAAGTTTCTCTTTTCAAATTAGACTCTTTGAATGCTTTCCTAAAGCTCCTTTCAAAAACAAAGGAGGAGATGTGAAGATCATACCTAAACCAAGGGACATTTACACAAATCCGTTGGGTACAATTAGGCAGATTGAGAATTAAACAACTTCTTGCATCCACTGCTATATATAGGTTCTTGCTTTGGCAGTAAGAACCAGACGATGTTAAGTTTAATTACTCAAACAAACCACAGGATCATTTTAAAACACATTGTTGCCTCTTCCACAAGATGGAGTGCAGTGATAATATCTGAGGATTTTCGAATTGAATCAATATATCATGCCTCCCCTATGTTAGAAAAAGGCTTTAAAAACTTTATCCAACCACAGCAAAACAAATCAGAAGTTCCAGTGGAGCAGGTTCTCACTGGTTAGTTATGCTTATTTCAGATGGGAGTTCAGAGTGCATCCCACAAAACAAATAAGGTCCACAGGTTCTTTTCTTTATGCATTCAAAATGAGCAACAGAACTTAACAGTGACTTTCCTCTGGTGGAAAATTACAACCACAAAAGTTTTCACACCCACTTGTTACACAAGATATAAGAACAAAGAAATAATTTTACTCAGTCAAGAATTTTTAAAAGACGCGATAAAGAATTGCTTTTGCGCTGTAATTGCTTTGCAGTTCTCAGCCATAGCCTTGTGGCTGCTGAACTCAATCAAGACCTGAACTTCTCAAAAATCAAAGCAGTATCAGTGTTTTGATTGGAAGTAGCTGCTAGCATTCTGCTGGCATCCCATCAGCTGCATGCTTAAGAAATCCATTTGGGAGAATGAGAAGCTTCCTTATTCTCTTCTTTCATGGTCTGAGTTCACTGTGAGAAGTTGTGATCTGATGTAGAGACTTGTTAGCTGGCAATCAGGTAAATGCACTTTGAATAAGAAAAGGCATTCTGAAAGACTCTTCCTTGTTTTATTCATCAAGTTTTGTAATACAATACAGAGTTTTTATATCAGTTTACATCTTTGACAGCTATTTATTATGATATATTGAATCTTGTCAATAATACATAATGACTGTCAATAATACATAATGAATGTCAATAATACATAACGACTGAAAACCACAATAAGCTACCCTGAACCATGTAGACTTTGGCTTGAATTTACGATCTATGGCCTTGCACTTCTCAGCATCAGCAGTCACCCTATCCCAGTTCAGAAGCGACAGGGCTGCCAATGCCACATACTATGCGACCTTAACGTTGCTAACTATATCCTATTTGGCAAATCTTCCCCCTTACCAAGCTAGCTGTGACATAAAGGCTTGTGAAGGCTAGTCCTTAAAAATCATCTGGCACGACTGTGATAAAGTGACTCTTAGAGATATAATATTTTTCCCTTTATGTACACAGGGACTGCAGTACCACCAAGCACATACCATATTTATGCCCCTGCCTGGCAGGAAGCTTGGACCTCCTCTGCATTTGTTAATCCTGCTTTTCAGCATCTTTTACCTCGATTTTTAAAGACACGCCTCCAACTTTACAGGAGCAGTCTGCTGGCGCTGGGCGGTTAGAATTGGAAGGGGGGGAGGGGGTGGGGGCCGTTGCAGAGCAGCTCAGCCCACCCCACCCCACGCCGAGCCGCCCGCAGGTGCGGAGCTCAGGGTCGGCGGGGCCGCTCCCTCGGGAGCGCCCACGGGCACCGCGGGCGGCGGGACCCGCTCGGCCCGAGCGTGCGCGCGCCCCCGGGAGGCGGAGCCGCGGCGCGGGCGGGGCCCGGCGGCTTCTGCGGCGGCGGGACGGGCGGAGGGACGGGCGGAGGGACGGGCGGTGCGGGGAGCCCTGCCGGCACCGGGCACGGACGGACGGACGGACGGACGGACGGACGGACGGAGAGAGGCAGGGAGGGAGGGAGGGAAGGGAGAGAGGCGCTGGCTGCTCCTCAGTCCGGCGGTTCCGCGGCGCTGCTCGGGCAGCAGAGCCGCCGCCGAAGCCGATGGGGAGGCTGCGCTGAGCGGGCTGCCCTCCGCAGGAGTCGGCAGCCGAGGGCAGCGGCGCGGCGAGCGAGCAATGCCTCTCACTTCTCCGCTTGCGCTTCCCTTCCTCCTCCTCCCGCTCCCGGCTCTGAAGCTTTTGTTTTCCCCGGCTGCTGCGACGGCAGGAAACTTCCCGGAGGGATGGGCTCAGGCCGCGGTTGTGCTGCGCCGGGCTCTGCAGGTCACCGGCCGCGCCGTGAGGTGAGCCGAGCCGGGGCAGGGAGCGCTGCCGGGCGGCGGCGGGGGCAGCTCCGCGGGGCCGGCCGGGACGGGCGGTAGGAGCGGGAGAGAGTTGCGCCGGGAGTGCCGCACGGTTATACCGGTTCGCCCCAGCCGGGATCGCACGGCCAGGAAGCCGCTGCAGCCCCGAGGATCCGTGTCCGTGGGCCAGGACGGTTCTGGGGCCGGCGCCCGAGGAGGCTGCGTGGGCACCGCGGAGCCGGGCGCCCCCTCTCCCGGTGGAGCCGCGGGAGCCGCTGGCGGGCAGCGGGGGCGGGAGCGCTGCCAGCCCCGAGTGGGCGCTCTCGGCCGCGTCCCATGGCCCGTCGGGCCGCCCGTGGGGGGTGTCCTTCTTTTTCTTCTTCTCCTCCTCCTCGGTCGGCGGTGGTGCCGGCGCGGAGGCGGCGTGCGGGGGCCGCGCTTCCGGCCGGGGTTCCGTCCCCGGGAGGTGGCCTGGCTCCCCTCGGCTCTCCCGGACCGGCCCTCCCGGCCGCTGGTCAGGGGCATGGGGTAGGGCTGGCTGCTTGCTGTCACCTGCTTCTTTAGTCTCCTGCTTGTGCTCAACTCTTGAACCTGCTGGTGTCATTACGGTGTGCCTGTGGCTCCTGGGAAAAAAAAAACCAAAAACAAACAAAAACAAACACCAAGAAGTACCTCGCATGGTTTTGATTGTTTTTCATCTACTCAGACGAGTATGTAATTTTTATTTGGGTGTGCTGCACGGTTTTCCTCATACTTGCTTTGTAAAAGTGAGATAATACAGTGCAGCCTAACATATATATATATATGGGGTTTATATATATAAATATATATATATAACCCAAAACATATAATGAAGTTTTCCTTGTAAATCGGTAAAAACACTCTCCCAAGAAACCCGTTGATTTACATAAAGATTTGCAGGTAACGTACATATTTTAAATGGTCAGAGCAAGTTAGATCCATGCCCAGGAGGGTTGTTAAATGAAATTGTTTATCCTTACTGAAACCATGAATGCTTAAGCAGTGGCAAATGGGTTTTGCATAATGCATTTTTTATGGGACGTCTTACACATTCTAACATTAGAGCAAAGGCGTCAGAGGCATCAAATTATAAAAAGGGCAATTTTTACTAGACCATTTGTAGATAGATGAAAATGTAAAGAAATTTCAGATTTGTTTCAGTATTAATAACACAGAATAACTATGTATTGTTAGTTGTCAAATGTGTTTTTACTGTTGTTTTTTTGCACAGTTATCTGTTGTGAAAATGTTGCCAAAATTGCTGTAGCTCCAGGATAACATAATAGACTCACCAGTAATTACATTTTTAGTCTACAGAAGCAAATTTGGTAATGACTAGTAATTAGAAGAAGAATAATTTCTAAATAACTGTCATTTGAAATATTTACTGCCAAATGATCAGCCCTCAGAAGCATAGCCTCTTATGCTTTTCTGTATTATTCATGTAGAGAGTAGCCTTACTGTAAGAAGGCTTACTTCTAAATGTATAAACTTTGTCTTTTTTTAAACTGAGAAAATAAATCAGACTGTGGAAATTAGTAGATCATATGCAAGGTCTGCCTACTCAGAGGAAACAGGAAGAAGCCAAGATGAGCTCTACTAATTCCTAATTTTCTTCTTGTGTGCTACAGTACGTAGGTGACTTTTGTCAGGTGGTGCTGATCAGGCAATGCTTATATGCTTCATCGTTGCATTTGCCACTTTTAAAATATTCCTTTAGGAATAATTAGCAGATGAAGCCTGGAGAGGCTATGACCACTTCTCTGCAGCTAATGAAATGCAGCCAAGACTGTTTTCTGGTTCTGAAGCCAACTCGTGTGGGTTGGCCCTTGTCAATGCTGCTAAACTCTCCTGCCTTCCAGAGTGGGATAGCTGAATACAAGCTAGTGATTGGGACTGGCACCTGGCCTGTGTTAAGTCCAAAACTGTGCCTCAAAATTGCATGGGAGACCTGTAGGTGCCCTGTGTTAGAAGAAGGCTGTGCCACTCTGACAGTTTAGCAGTCTGTGACTGAGGGAATTCTGTTTCCTGGGAATGGTTCCTGGCACTGCTTGATTTACTAGTGTGGACATAGCATATCTGCAACATAGTCTATCTGCAAGTAGTCTCCCTTAACTCTGTACTCGATCATAGTGAATTAATTTCTGTGCATTGAGGATCTCTGACACTATAAAATACTTTTCATAGGCAGCTGCTTAGAACTGTCAAGGCTATCTTCCTTCCTTCTCCACTTGTGCATGTGGGTGAAGAGGCAGCAGGTGAAGGCATGGTGGCTTTCCCACTTCTCAGTAAAGGAGAGGTAAACAGGGTCAGGGAAAGGCTTATGTGACTAGTTCTGCTTGTCTGGAAATGTGCTCCCAGGGCAATTAATGTCCATAAGCAATACCAATGACTAGATGCGAATGCAGTCACATGCTGGTTTGCTACTTTCCTAATGTGTTACAAGTAGCAAGTTAGGCAGAGGAAATGTTAGGGTTTTTTTCAATGCTCTAAAGGGTGTCAGACTTAATTGTTACAAATGAGGAAAGTGAGGCAAGAGGAAGCATACCTATTATCTAAGGAAGCCTGGTTGTAGGATCCAGAAGTAGAGTTTCAGATCGAAAATTGTTCTGTCAGGTTGCACTGCTTTGTCACAGACATAAAATACTTTATTAGAATGGTGTACTTCTTATCTCTGTTATTTGCTGGCAGCCTTTATTTTGCTAACCTAGCTAGTAGTACAGTTTGAACTTATATAGGCTAATTGTTTAACCATCTCATTTCCAGTTGAGAATAACATTTAGATACTTATGTAAACCTTACGTCAGTGATAGTATTGGGTAAATGTTCCAAAGTGCTTTCCTGAACAGGCAGCTTGGCTCAGTGAAATTACAGTTGATTTCATATGAATGAGACCTTGCAAAATACAATTCTTAATATTGAGACATTTCAGTGTGTGCTTTAGGAGAAAGTTGAGCTATCTTTTTTTTTTTTTTCATGTGTAAAAACACTGATTCAGCAAGGTGTATTTATACTTAAACACACATTGTCAGTGTCTGAGGAGTCCCACTGATCTGAGTGGTACCTCGAGAAATCTCTTACATAACTGTAACCTAATTTACTTCAATCTAGATGTTTATTATACATAAGCTGTGTTTAAAAGAATATCATTAAGACCACATAAGCCCAGAAGTGTTTGGAAATTTAAAGCTTTGAAGTGATGATGATGTAACCTTTGGGAGCTGTGCTTTATACTGTCTAGGACCAGATTTTTTTCAGAGCATTTTGCATCTCGAATCAAGCAACCAAAATTAAAGAATGGTTGTGATTTTTGCATCTCTTCCTTGATTTTTCTCCTCCTGGGAGTTTCTAAAGCAAGGCTTGAATTGTGTTGATTAGGTATGACATAGTGACAGAGAATAATTGTGGAGAAAGCAAGGTTTTGGACACCTGTTCATCTTGATGAGCAATACACTTTCTAAAGGAAGCTGGGTTTTGTGTGGATAAGTAGTTTAGTCACATAATTAAAACCGATATCTTAGTGTTTAAGTTCTATACCTGCTACTTCTCAAGTCTTCAGAGCTTAACTTTTGAACCATGATAGCATTAATTTTTTAACATAGTTTTTGGGTGTATTAATTTCCCTAGTGCTTTTTTTTTTTTATCCCTAAAACAGATAGAAGCAAAAGGTGTAATTTGTTCTGAGGTATCTTTGATCACTTCTTACGTCCTTGGCAGATGAACCTTAGGATTAAAGGGTGGGCTCGGTCCTGCGCACACTGTGTCTCACCTAAAAAATCCAATGCGCAGGCTGGAAGGTGTAAAGACCTTCCCCGGATCTTCGCTTGCAAAGACTGGCCATTATTATTATGTTCTTAGCAGAGTTAGAACTCTCTATATGCCAACTCAGGCTGTAACTGTCTGAGCTGTAGCAGTAGGTCATGATCCATAGGTAGATTGACAATGAAGGGACACAGCATGCTTTAAACATGGATTATGAAAAGACCCACATTACCTCATAATTTTTATGTAATATGATGTCACTGACTTAAGGAGGATGGTGAAACTTTAATGCTTCATTTCCATTCTATTGTCCCTGGGGCAATGCTGTCTGGTGACTTTACTGTTATTTTCCCTGCTATATTTTACTGACCTGTTTCTTCTGGGCCATCTTGTTGCCCAACTGCTTCCTACACTTTTCTGCCAGATCCTTTTCTTTGTTGATGTAATATATAATTTTTAGTTGCTAGTCACTTCAGTTGGCCAGTTAGAATATTTTGTCCTAATCTAACTTGCAACCCTCTCATGTTGCATGGGTCAGGTCAGCTGGCCAAGCAGATCAGGTCAAGAAAGCAAAGGGGAAACAGGCTTTCAGATCCAGTGCTTAGATTTTACAGGCTTTCTTGAGGAAATAATCACTGTTATAGCCTAAGTGGACTGGGGCTGGAGTATAGAACTACAGAATAACTGAGAGTGGAAGAGACCTCAGGAGGTCGTGTAGGTCACCACTTGGCTCAGTGCTGAGCCTGATTGAAAGTTAGATGAGTTTGCTCAGGATCATATCCACTTGGGTTTTGAATGTCACGAAAGATGGAGATTCCACAGTCTTTGTGAGTAAGCTGTTTCAGTGTTTGACCACTGTCACTATGAAGCTTTTTCCTAAGGCCTAATCAAAGTGACCCATACTGTAGCTTGTGTATGTTGTCCCTTGTCCTTTGTTGTGAACCTCCAAGAAGAGTCAGATTGTTGTGCTCATTAAAAGCAACAAATGTTTTTTAGTTGCTTAATAATACACTTCCTGTCAGCTTTTGCCAAGCATGTAAAAACCAATCCTCTTCCAGTCAGGTTTGCACACTTTATTCAGTAGCAGGCTAATCAAATCAGTTGAATTACCTTTTTGTTTATGTGGGCAAAATAAAAATCTTTTGCTAGCCTTGCTTTTTGAAGCAGATGTGATGTCGTAAATTTCTCCTTTCTTTCTCCCACATGATCATGCATTG